TCCCAGATTTCACAATGCGCATTCAAATCTTCACAAACTGTAAACAATTGGAATCGTCGTTGTATTTTTAAGTTGAAGTGAAAACCTCTCGCAATTTGCGAGTTCAATCAGTTGGTAGAGTTTTTGAGGAAAGGATATTAAGAGACATTTCGTTGATATGCTGATGAGCTAATGCTATAATGATAGGGATTAGCATAATGATAATAAGATGAATCAATTAGTCAAAAAAGTTATAATCTTTACTGTTATTAGTTTGGAATCGAAAACGATATGCAAACTGAAGTTTGCATTGATTTCCAAAGACACAATTTTAAAGTTAAAGTGAAAAAAAGTGATCANAGTTGATGTTTGGACCTCAGTAGTACTCCATTGGGGCTTTTTGGTGTTGAGTGTTACTTTTGATGTCGTTGTTGTGGTATATGAAGGTATTTCTCGTTCCGAACATCGATACAATTTATTAATTTTCTTTGCATCAATAATACTCAACTTGTAGCGTTGACCAATCTGAGCATGACCATCCTAAATTTACGGCTTTTTTTAAGCTGCATCATAGCTCTTCTCTCTTGAATACAATCCCTTCTGAAAACGACAGCTGGGAATCTATAACCATAGCACACTGTTTTTCTCAATAACATTAATGATGATAATAGCAATNTTCTGAAAACGACAGCTGGGAATCTATAGCCATAGCACACTGTTTTTCTCAATAACATTAATGATGATAATAGCAATAAATAGATATTAGCCAAATTCCAACGTGGCCATTATCACCGACTGTAATAATAATAACCTACTCGTGGAACTATCGTGGATTTACCATTCTTCGAGAATGCCAATTTATGATAATGCATCACTGAATCATAATCATACGGCATTCCAAGCGTGTCGACGATTTTCCGTGGATACTTCTCAAAGTTACGTAACATTCCTGCACATTAAATAACAAGTTCATAATGCAGTGATTATCTGATTATTGATGTTTTGATATATAACGAAATCTTTTCGATTTATGCAAGCTTTCTGCTTTTCAAACAGAAAACTTGCATCTGACGATCTAAGTTTGTTCTTTTGAAAGATTGGTGGTAACTGAAGACGCTAATAACCGATTAGGTTCTATCACATTTATGGTATAAAAGTCGCTGAATGAACATAGATTAAATATGTCATCATTTTTGGATACAATATCAAATTATATCACAAATC